TATATATATATATATATATACACACACACCTAATAAATAAGTAACTTGAGTGACACGTGTCATCTTCTAGAGAGTCGGTTATCTTATTTTCCAGCCTAAACATGTATCTAGACACAATTTACATTAATGGTTCAATTAGACTCATTTGAACGTATCTAGACACAATTTACATTGATAGTTCAATTATATTTATTTGATTGACATGGTCCTCTTATTCAATCAATCCTACTAATTTTGGATGCAATTGATTTTATTCTTTGGTTAACTAATTCGAGTGCTAACTGATTCCCAAAAATAATGGTGTTCACTTTTAAGTTTAAATTCAATTTACTGAAAAGTTTAATTCAAAGTTATTTCAAGAGTACAAGTCTGAAGTTATTCTTCAGAGTTAGCTCACCTGAACTCTGGAGTCTGAACTCTGAAATCTTCTTTTTCAAACTTAGAACTCTGAACTCTGAACTCTGAATTTTTTTACTTAGAAAAAGAAGTCTGAAGTCTTCTTTTTTAGACTTTTCTTTTTTAGACTTAGAAGTCTGAACTCTAAACTCTTCAATAATCATGAAGAGTACAAGTCTGAAAAGTCATTCTTCAGAGTTAGCTCATCCGAATTCTGAAATCTTCTTTTTCAGACTTAGCTCACTCGAACTCCAAAGTCTGAACTCTGAACTCTTTTGTTTTCAGACTTAGAAGTCTGAACTCTGATTTAATGAGATTAGTTTTATACTTCAAAGTTATTTCAAGAGTACAATTCTGAAGAGTTATTCTTAGGAGTTTTATTTCAGAGTTATTTCCACAGTACAAGTCTGAAAAGTTAGCTCACCCGAACTCTGTAGTCTTCTTTTCCAAACGGACACCATGCAGAGCCTCTACATAGTGCACGCAGAGCTTCTGGCTTGCTTATACAGAGCTCTGAAGTCTGAAGAGTTGTACTTCAGAGTAATTTCAAGAGTACAAGTCTTGTAATAAACTTATCTAAACTTTGAAGATAAGTCTTTAAGATTTAGACTTAGTCTTGTAAGCCATAGCCCCTCTGGTTGGTCTGGCTTCTGGATGTCAGAGGAGCTCTGGTTGGTCTTGCTCTATATGATGCAAACTTTACCATGAGGTCTTTTTCAAAAATATTGGGTATTTGAATAACTATGAAATCAAGGTCTTCAGATTTCGTCTTCAAATTTGACACAGACGCTCTTCTAAGTTTAAATTCAGTTTACTGATATAGTTTCATTTCTAAATTAAATTTTATTCCAGGGTTAACTTCATTTTAACTAATTATTGATATAGTATCGTTTCTAAATTCAAGTCTGAAGAGTCATTCTTCAAAGTTATACTTCAGAGTTATTTCAATAATACAAGTCTGAAGTCATTCTTCAGAGTTTTAATTCAGAGTTATTTCAATAGTACAATTATGAAGTCATTCTTTAGAGTTATTTCAAGAGTACAAGTATGAAGAGTCATTCTAAAGAGTTAGCTCACCCGAACTTTGAAGTCTGTTTTTTTAGACTTAGCTCACCCGAACTCTAGAGTCTGAACTCTGAAGTCTTTTTTTTAGACTTAAAAAAGGAAGTTTGAAGTCTTCTTTTTCAGACTTAGAAGTCTGAACTCTGAAGTCTTCTACAAGTGTGAAGAGTCATTTTTCAGAGTTAGCTCACCCAAATTCTGAAGTCTGAAGTCTGAAATCTTTTTTTAGACTTAGAAGTCTAAACTCTGATTTAGTGTGATTGATTTTATATATTTTAGAGTTATTTCAATAGTACAAGTCTGAAGAGTCATTATTCAGAGTCATTCTTCAGAGTTTTAATTCAGAGTTATTTCCCTATTACAAGTCTGAAGAGCCATTTTTCAGAATTAGCTCACTCGAATTCTGAAGCCTTTCTTTTCCAGACGGAGCACCATATAGAGTCTTTGCATAATACATGCAGAACCTCTACATAGTGCATGTAGAGCTTCTGGCTTGCCTATACAGAGTTTGAAGTCTGAAGATTTTTACTTCAGAGTTATTTCAAGAGTACAAGTCTGAAGTCCTTCTTTAGAGTTATACTTCAGAGTTATTTCAAGAGTACAAGTCTGAAGAGTCATTCTAAATTTACTTTTAAGTTTAAATTTAATTTACTGATATAGTTTCATTTCTAAATTTAATTTAATTCTAGAGTTAACTTCATTTTAACTAATTATTAGTATAGTTCCATTTCTACATTCAAGTCTAAAGAGTTATATACAGGGTTATTTCAAGAGTACAAGTCTAAAGTAGCATCGTACTTTCGATGATCATTCATATCAATAAAATAAGTTTCTGGCATGATTTAATTTTTTTAAATTACCCTGTGTAATACACGGGATCGAACCTAGTATATATATATATATATATATATATATATATATATATATATATATAAGACTTGGGATCATGTGAGACCAATGGTTTTTCGTGATACCCGTAATACCAATTCTCAACCCTTGGATTAGATCTACAATTTGAAAATCAAAACATTAATAAACGCCACGAGACTTCTCAATAATTACAAAATTGTCATCGTGCAATTTAGACCATTAGATCATTAACTTATAAAGTTGATCAATGAACATAAATTGGTCTTACGGGTCTCACGAAAAACCTTTGGTCTCACGTGAACCCAACCCATATATATAATATGTTACTTTAATGATTCAGCCCTCTAAGTCATAATATAATCATTTTACCCCGTGATTTATAAAAAAAAGTTTTAAAAATGAAAAATGTAAAAAGACCTTTATACCCTTGACTTTAACGGACCTGGTAAACGGCCATTAGGCTGAAGGACTAAATCTGTCCCATTAGGCTGAAGGACTAAATCCAACAGAAAGTGTATCCTAAGGACGATTTTCGTAAAAACAACAAACCACAGGGCCCAAACCTGTAATTTACCCAAAAACTTTATTTCAATTCTCCCAAGTCTTTATCATTTTATAAAAGAACAAAGTGTCTTTATGATCGACTAAATATACAACCAGATTTCATCTCCTTTTTGGAAGTTTTTGCACATGCACATGAAAGATGATCCAACACTTGCTTATTCATAAATCATCAGCATTCCTTATCAACACTTAGTTATTTCACCTTGAAAGTGACCACCCTACTACCATCACCACCGCCAACCACCGATTTACATTATTCTGCACCCTTCTCCCTCCTCTTCACCTCGATAATCATTACTCGTATAATGACTCCTGTTTCCATTGTACCCATATTCGTATCCAAAACCACCATAACTTGGTGGTGGTGGTGGTGGCACTACTGTCATCCCATAACCATGTTGATACGGTGCACCACCACCATAGCCTTGATCATAATATTGCCCGTACCCGACCATAGGGTAAGCCGCTGGTGGGTACATCTGTGGATAGCCTTGAACGGGCTCATACACCATCTTCGCAACGTCAGGGCTTGGCCCTGCATCTGCCTTCTTTAGAGACTCTTTCGGTGGGGATGGTTTATCCGCGTCTTTAGGTTTGGCTTTCTCAGCTTCTGGTGGCTTTCCTGAGTCCTTAGGTTTATCAGCAGCTTTCGGTTTTTCTGCTTCTTTAGGCTTGTCAGCAGGTTTGGCTTTCTCGGCTTCTTTAGGCTTGTCAGCAGGTTTGGCTTTGTCGGCTTCTTTGGGTTTCCCTGCATCCTTAGGCTTGTCAGCAGCTGGCTTAGCCTTCTCGGGTTCTTTTGATTTGTCCGCAGGTGGCTTGGCCGCCTCGGGTCCTTTAGGAGGTTTAGTTGGTGGTGGCTTGGCCGCCTCGATCTTCTCGGCAGCCTTTGGCTTCTCGATTTCTTTTGGTTTTTCGGCCTTTTCAATGATCTCTATGCTTTGGATGGCACCGCAACCCTTGGCACAAAGCTTGTCACGGATTTTTTCGGGGCTGCAACATACTACCATGACCTTAACCTTGTTTTTGTCCACATCAAATACCTGGTCCCTTATTTCTATTTTGTCACAAAGAAAATAAACAATATACATCATTTAGATGCCACAAGGGTCAAGAATAAATCAAATCAAATCAAACCAAATTATATGAATATATCTCATCTAGATGTGTGTAGGGGAGGATGGGATATACAAAATTGACACCATACCTTTACAAGTTTACATCAATACCAAGGGTCAATGAATCATAAACTCAAATCATTATTGACTAACTTAGTAAATTATCTCCAACAAATTCTTTAAAACCGTCAATGAAAACATAAAATCTGCAAAGAGAATTAATATATTCATCCCTGACAGCTTTTCCATTCCGGAGTGAATTATATTTTTTTTCTATTCGTTTAACTTCAAATGGTCTCGTTGGTAGAAACAATAAAAAATAATTTCTCTTTTTCTAATTAATCATTTTCGGAGACTTCTCCGTGTTTGGATTCTTCACGTTCGTTTTTCTCACTTTTAGAGAAGGTTTTTAGGAATTTGTTAGAGCAAAAATAACTAAAATCTTCATTTTAAAGAAGCAGATGAATCTCTAAATATTGCTCTTGCATCTGGACAAAATCTAAAGTTTTAAACTCATGAGCCACCGGTTGACATTAAATTGCACTAAGATTTCAAGTTATACTTTGTTTGGGTGGTGAATTTCTTGGTGAATATGTTTAACTATATAACGAATTTATTAAATCAAAGGAATAAGGATATTCTTCGAAAACGAAAGACGTCAATCTACAAAAAAATGAATCTGAAAGTAAATCCATGTTCGAAGTGAATATTGATACGAATACTATCTGCTTTACCAAAAATTTACATGATACGTCTAGAAGCAAAGGATATTAACATCAATTTTTTTAAATTAAAACCTCGAGATTTGAGATGCGAAGCATTTATCGATCCATGAAAATGATATTCTTCCCATTAATAGAAAAGTAATTGAAACCGAATAGAAATAATTATGAAATAGGAGAAATGGAGGAACTCACGGGGAATTTTACAGATGACCTTCTTCACCTTTTTGTAGCAGCCGGAGCACTTGAGATCAACATTCAGCACCATTTCCGTCACCTTTTCGTTACATCAAACACACTCAATTGAATTAGATTAAATTCTGGAAATGTTTATTGTGAAGCTTAATTTCGCTCCTCAAGAATAAATACAGTAAAAACAACAACAATGAGTTCAAAATTTGCGATATTCTGATAGTTAATCGGTTAATTAGAGATGAAAATGAAACAGAAAGGAACGAGTACCTTCTCAGGAGCCATGGTGGTGCTGAATCCAGAGAGAGAGAGAGAGAGAGAGAGAGAGAGAGAGAGAACGTGGTATGTATCAGTGAGAGTTGGATTAAAAAGAGGAAAGGGAGCGGTGAAGGTGGTGATGTCATCATCATCCATGCTTCCTTCAAACAAAATTAATATTTTGAATATGTAATTTTTATTAATTAAAAATTTATTAAATATAGATATGTTACAAGTAGATAACTACGAAAAATTTAGTTTTATCTATATTGTTATATATTTTAGATGATATTTAGAGACCGTTTACCAAACACTTATCTGGGTAAGTGCTTATCAAGTCATGTTACCTCACCGGATGAATATGGTAAGGATAAAAAATCTTATCCGGTAAAAGCAAAACAATGACCATGAATTTTACCCGATAAGTGAAGACGACGATTCTTATCATGATAAGCGCTTACCGAGTAAATTGTTGCATACGATGTTGTTTTGGTGGACTAAAATCTTACTCGGTACGTAAATAATAGTGTTAAATTTTACCCGTAAACACTTACCGGGTAAGTGTTTGATAAACGACCCCTTGGTTTACAAAATGTTTTTGTATGAAATAAAATATATTAAAAGAATCTAAAGGATTTAAAATAAAATGTTAATGCTATATATATGATTATATGTATGACTAGTTTTTTATCTGTACAATGCAGCAGAAGCCTTAAATGTAAACAATTTTGAAGCTTTGGTGGGTTTATTAGAGAAGATTTAGCAGAATTAAGATATTTTAAGAGATAGTGCATAAAAGAGTAGTACATTATGCTTAGATGTTTGTTTTTAAGACTTTGTACACAAATAAGTAATATCTTATGCATTTAAAGTTATTTTTAAAACTTTTATCAAATCTACTTTATAAGATATAATAGATAGAAAAAATATTCATGATAAATATTAATGAGGAAACTTATTCATGATGAACCATGATATTAATGATAACAATATGACAAAATACATAATATAATGACAAAATCAATCAAGTCGTAATCAATAAAAGAGTAAATTACAATTTTTATTCTTGTATTTTTGTTAAAAACTTTGATTTTCGTTATTGTAATTTAAAATTATGGTTTTTGTACTTATGATTTGTAATTTATTACTATTTTTGTCTTTGAACTAATTTTTATCTTTTTAAATACAAGGGATTAAAATAGTAAAAAATTGTAAATAGGGATTGGAACAACAATAAATTATGAGGACGAAAATAGTAATGATTTACATACTATAAGAATGAAAACAGTAATATCCAAACTAAAAAGATGAAAATTGTAATTTTTAACACATCATAAGGATGAAAAACGTGATTTACTCTCAATAAAATAAAAATGTATGATATAGATGAAATAATCGTGATAAATAATATGTATGAATATTTTATATTATTTATTACAAATAGTTAGTTATCCTGGTCTTCAATAAATTTGATATTCAATTGAAAATCCTGAATCTTGTATTCATGGGTTATTTATCATGAATAAAGTATTATTTATGATGAATGTGATTGTAGCCCTTTATCTAATCAATATTTGTAACTTTGATTGTAAATCACCGAATAATTTCTTGCATAAGTATGCATAACATAGAAGAGTAGTTTCATAACTTTTACAAATTATATATAGTTCACATATGAACTTTTTTAACTAATTCACATATGGCCCATGTAATTCACACATGAATTAATTAACTAATTCGTGTATGAATCCTTGTGATTTACATACGAACTAACTTGTTCATATATAAACTCGTGTGATTCATATACGAACTAATTAACTGATTCAAAACAGTTAAATAGTTCACATGTGAACTAATTAACAGGTTCAGATATGAATATATAGTTTATATGTGAATCAAATAAGTCTACATATGAACCTTTTTGCCACCTATTTATAAAAGTCACGAAACTATCTTCTCTATTTTTTGCATACACGCAAATTTGACCAGTTAAACTCTTCATTCTTAACCAGTTAAATCCAATCTTGACTATATAAAAGACTAAAATCATTTTTTTTTATTTTTTAAATATTTACCACCTCTTAAAATAATCTTTGAAAATTAGTAGTTGCTATAAGAATATTTTGTTTACACTTTTATTATTTATTGTAAAGATTAAAATATATTATTATTATTATTATTATTATTATTATTAAAAGGTTGTATTAAATTAGGAGAGGAATTAAAAGAGTTGAATAAGTGTGGAAAGGAGGAGTTGTAAAGTAGGAAAGAGGTGGTGTGTAATACAAGGGGTCAGCCTCGGATCCCAATCCCCCACATGGCCTCTCCTTTCATCACCGACAACCAACCTACATATCATTTCCTTACGAAGTTACCAAATTAATATATAAATTAATATATAAATATATATATATATATATATATATATATATATATAGGGGCCTAATCAAATGAGAACTAATTAGTTTGTGGTAACTGTGAGAACCAATATTAACCACAAATCAATAGATAAATTAGGAAATTTATAATTTTGGCAATTTTGAATTAAAATATTAATGCAAGGATATTTTTGGTATTTTAAAACTTTTCTCCCTCCTCTCTTCTCTCTCCAGCCACCGTCCTCCGGCCACCGTCCGTCGGCCACCGTCCTCCGGTGATACTACAATGGTATCACAA